CAAATAAAATCACTGAATTATCTTTGTTTCCAAGCCTATATCAGATATCTGTTGTTTATTAGAAATACACGTTTAGCTGGAAGCATAAGTCTAAAACCTACTGTTTAAAGAAGATCAGGACTGCAAAGCCGAACATGCTAACATTAGAAGACGTTAAAGTTAATATTGCATGTGCAGACCGGATCCAGACCACTTCTGTGCATGTTGTAGAGGTGGGATTAATCTCACTTTTACCACCTAAAAGTTAGGCAATGAATCTCAAATGGTCAGGCAGGCTCCTTAGCTGCATCAGTAGGCAGAGGTAAAGCACTTAGTGTGCTTCATCCAAAGCTAAGACAGGTGCCTAAGAGAAGGGAGGCATACCTCCCTCGGAGCATGCTCATCTCTCTGTGCTCCTGCAAGTGACTCGCTTGCAAGGTGGATCCCACCGTAGCCAATGGCATGTTATTTTTGCCACAGGATCACTGCCTTACTCAGCGCTTACTGAATCTTACTCTTTAGTATCTTCTCTTTTTATCCTTTCCCTGTAATGTGTAGGCCTCTGCATTATTTTACTGTGTGCTATTGAATATAGCATAGAACACAGAATTATTCATTTTCAGTGGGACTTTCTAAGGTTCTTGGGTATAGCGTTTGTTAGCTCTTTACAAACACTGATTAATACCTTCAAAGATCTGTCATGAAAAGAGGCAGTATTATTATGACTTCTTTTTACAAAGGAGGAATGAAAGCGGCAAGATTAGAGCCATTGAAAGCTTCCCTGCACTTAGGGTGTGCACAGACTGGTTTTTCAGTGCTTACAGCACTACACATCATTTTGGAAGTCTGAGACGCAGTTTGTTGTGACCTGGATTGCAGCTGTGAGAGCCTACTGACTTCTGCAAACCACGCTTCCCCAGGCCCCATGTTTGCCACTATGAAAAAAAAAACTTTTATTCCAGTTAACACTGTTAGTAGCAGCTTTATTCTGGGACACATACCACTCTGGAGTGCCTGGAATAATGCCACTTGAGTTTACGTGGTTGCCCCACAGTCTGTAAGGTGTCATCCGTCCATTTTAACTGCAAGAGCATTTTTTCTGTCACTGCAGACCCATTTTGATCCAGGTTCTGCAATGTTGGTGCTGCAACGAAAGCAGCTGAGCCTTAGCAGACAGCAGCCTCCCCTACTGCACAGTCAGAACAAATTCCCACAGCACAGGCCATTCTTTGCCCCACGTAAGGTAGGGAGTCCTGAGAGGAAACCACAGGAGCTTGTAATCATGTCATTAAAAGAGCTTATGATAATATTCAGAAGGAGGCTGGAGTAAGGTTTCGCAAGCAAATTGAATTTACTTTTTCATTCTTGATTTTGCAAATGTAGGTTTCTTCTAACAATTTAAAAATATTGTCATACAGTATTTTGAAAAACTCAGCAACTGGGAAACGAGAGGTGTCTCTGAGTGAAAGCTCCGCCTGGGTCAACAGCACTAGGTACTTTATTTGGCAGGTCTCCATCAGCTAAGCTCTCATTCTAGGTTGTGGCAATACTGTCATCTTCTGGGCCCTAGAGGGGGATGGATACACATACTTTGCTGGTGGATTTCATAGCCGGAGAAACAGCGCTTCTGCTTCTGGTTTCAATTCCAGAAGCTAAAGGAAGTGGTGACAAACCTTTCTTGCCTCGTTGTTTTTTTCTCTCTTTTTTTTTTTTTTGGGGGGGGGGGGGGGGGGGGGGGGAATTTTTCCTTTTTTTTTAGGGGGGGGCAATTTTCCCTTATCTTCCTCTTGCCTTCTGTTCATTTCTGCCTCTGCTTCTCCATTCCAATGCATTATTTCCCTTGACTTCTAAAGGCTGTCTTGTGCTGTGCCTTTCCTTCTTCCAGAGAGAGCTCCTGCTTTTGCTCCTAACCTCTGCTCATGATCCCTCACCTCTCCTGTTCCTGCCTGCCTCTTGTACCTTCACAGCCTCCACCTTCATATGCAGCTTAATTACATTAGATACAGATTCTTACTCTGTCCTCAGCAAGACAATAATTATCTCTTTGAATAGGATATCAAGCAAATGATTATTAACATTCATGCTCTTTCTGTGATCAGGCCTGTGAGACGGGGAATGTTTGGCTACATAGAGCTTTAGCTCAAGGTTGTTGAGTTTTTTCATTGCGTACATATTAAAGAAGATGTGTTTTGTCAAAGACCTGTTGAAGGACTGAATCTTGTATTCAGAGCACAGTGAGGTGAGGTCCATGAGTATCAGATCTTGTGGGAGTTCCCTTTGAAGCCTAGTATTTGCCTTCATAGTAGAAGGTAACGCCATCTTGAAAACCCAAGATGTTGACCATGATCTTCACTGTGGAGCGCTAGGCATTCTTTTCAGACAGCTGGTTACATAGACGCCCATCAGGCTAAAAGAGTAGTCAGCAAATATAGCGTTGTCTTCCAGGTGAGCCAAGCCATGGGAACTTGTTGGCATTGTGCCCTGCAATTCAAAGAAAGTTGAATTGAAGTCGTTGTATACCTTAAAGTCAAAGACCTTGAAGCAGATTTCAGTACGAAGTAAAACTGTGAGCAGAGACTGTCTGATGTGCTCTCAGTAGCCTGAAATTCAGGCTACTGAATCGTGAACCCTGTCCTGGGTTCGTGTTGTTGGTGAGTCACTGAGCAGGCCTTTGGCTTATGAAGGTAAACTAGACACTACACAGAAATTAGCTCTATTAATAAGCTGCTTCTGTCCCACTCTCCTGCTTTTTTTGATCTCCCTTTTTGCTCCTGTCTCTAACCACCCATGACTCATTTTACAAGTTTCCTGTACTTTTTACCTCTATCCAAAATTCCTCACTGTTCCCACTGAGCTGAGGGTGTTTCTTCCCCTCTCTGCTCTCTTCACACCAGCAGCAGCAGCACTGAGATCAGAGCAGGGGTCTTCTTCCCATTCTCCTTGCAGAAGCTGCTGCGTGTGCAAGGCCAGCTGGGTCCCACCCCTGCAGCCCTGGCCTGCGCTGCACTGTCACCTGTGCAAGTGGAGCATTTGTAGTAGCCAGAAGGTAGAAGCTGTTAGGACTTGGGAGGTGTTTGAGAGAGAGAAACTCCTATGTCTACTACCATATGATATTGTCGATACCAAATGTACAAATACAGTTTTTGGATGTATACTGCTTGGGTGAATCTTAAAAAGAACAGACAAAAAGCAAATCTCTGGAACTAATGGTTCCATTCACTAACACAAACAACTAACCATGGAATATCCTGTTACCATGCACCACTTGATCTGTGGCAGTACTATTGAATCGTTTTAACAAAAACCTACTGAAAACTGCTAACCTGAAAGCTTTCCATGGAAAATATCAGTCCAAAAAGCTTAATTTCTGAAAGGTTTGGTTAGCTTGTAACATAGGAAGGTGAGTTGTGTTTACTGTAGAGGTTGTTACTTCCATGATCACTAGTGCCCAGGGGCTTAGTTGGTTTGTCTTGTTTAGGGTTTGCTTTTTTCCCCTTATTTTTACAATTTATTCCTCAATTACCAAAGTGGGGGGAAAAGTGTGGTATTTAGTTAAAACTGGTAGGTAGTAACCTCTTATTATTATTTAAACTTCTTTTTTCCTTGACTGACTTTCTTTTAAAGTCCTTTGAACATCCATCTCTGTATGTAAATATATGTTGATGTGTGCATGTATATATATTTGAGTTCTTACAATTTTAGCTTGACTTTCTAAGGAAGCGTGGATTAACCTATCATACTCTTTGACCTCCTGCCTGTTAGTGCCCATTTGGTGAATCTGAGCCATCTTGCCAAACAAAACTAGATTGGACTCTCTACTGAAAAAACTCGGAAATTAATTCCTCTAAGTTTCATGGAAACCACTGGGAGAGGAATGGGACAGGAAAGAGATACAAATAGCTTCCCTTACTGCAGCTGAAGTATAAGCTCAATTTTTTTTTATCCTGACGGATGACCAGTCAGCACACACACAACTGGGCGCCAACCCCAACATGTGCTACCTCTTCTCTAGCCAGACAGATAGGAGACTGCGAGATGTTGCGGGACATGCCATAGAACACTTAGAGGTGGAGACACGGAACTCTTGCAGTGAGAGATGGAGGAGCAGATTGTACACATCTGTAGGAAACCATATTTCAGCATTTCTGCTGTCCAAGGAACATCTGCCATCTGTTTGAAGGGAAATGAGGGTAATTATAAAAGAGTGCAGGGAGGGCTAAAGGGGAAAGGTCTTAAATATGTAGGAAACTGGGCTACATTAGTTCTGCTGCTTATGGCATAACACAGTAGCTTTCAGCCTTCGTTATTCCCATCCTGGAAACAATCCTGAGCAATTGCTTTTGTCTAGTCAACAGATTTTTGAATCGTATTTTTCAGTTTCTTAGTCAGGAAAGGACTTTGTGAATAATGGGAGAGGGATTTAATGCCCACAGTTTACTGCAAGACTTAGAAAAGGAACCTATAAGAAAGCAGTTAGTGGGGGGGAGCTCCGTCAAGCAATTACAGCCAACGACTAGAGTTCTCAGTGGAACAGAAAGTGGGCTGGGATCAGGGAATGACATCCCAGGAACAGGAAGGATTTATACTGATTTTACCATTGATCAGCCTTTTATGTATCTATTCATCTTCAATTGGTGATGCACTGAATAAAATTTACCACTGCCCCTTTTCCTGAAAGCAAAAACTTCTGGAAAGCCAAAAGCATATAGTATAGTTTTAAACAGCTATAAAAATGCTCACTAGAAATAATACTTTCAAACCTAGCACAACTGGAAAGTATGCTGGTGCTCCTAGATAATCTTTGAATACATTAGACTAAAGGTTTTTGAAAGCACACAGAATCATGAAATGCTTAGATTTCTCTGGTTTTAATTCTAAAATGTTACAAAATTCCTTCATCATACAAAAAATATATACGGCTTACAAAAATGCAACAATGATTTGTTTGAAATGTGTTTAGCTCATAAAATCCTCTCATCTCTTCAAAAATAGGTATTTGAGAGGACAGATGTCATCTATTTTCAAAGCCAGTCTGGCTTGATATATAGAGTTTCTAGAAGTAATACATTTAGGGTGGCCTCTCCTAGAATGAGCTCTTCAATAGCATCTGCATCAATGTCTCGAAGAGAGGCAATTAGCTGAAGAATCCAAGCAAACCTGCCTAGGTTTCTATGGAACATTGTTGAGATAAACTCCATCAACGCTTGCTGAGCTTCCTGCTGCAGTGTTTGTACATAGGGGAGACATTTTAGGACATGGCATCCTGTCAAAATAAAAAGTAAAATAATTTGAGTAAACACTTTGGTTCTGTGCCCTTCATAATGATGGGTGTCTGGCTTTCTAGCTTATAGTGCTACTTTCTCTAGAAAACAATAAAAACTTTATAAACATACTTTTTGGAAAAAGAAGATATGCTTAGTTCAATAATTTGAAGGAATATTGAGCAGCATTGTAAGCACATTGGAATCTAGCCCGTTACATTAAATCCAGCTTTGAAATGGTAACAGGAGGTAACTTGACTCAGTACAGATGGAGAAGCAGCTTTATAGTGTTGTCTACCCACCAAATGATGCTGAGACCATAGTCTGAATAGGTGGAAACATTCCAGCTCTAATCTAAAATAGGTAGGTAACATCATGAAGCTGGAGGCAGTGGTTTGGAGCAGCGAGCAGGCTGGTAGTCTGAAGACATAGGTTTCCAGTCTACCATCTCCCTCCTGTTGTTGCCTCTACTTGCTAGACTAAGCTGGGGCACTATGGTTCACCATGCTATCTAGTCTATAGATATCTATATAGACTTCATTTACAGTCTAACAAGAGCATAAAGGTTCTCTGTGAGATGTATCATGGCCCACAGGAGTAGGATAGATGATTGTATTTCCTGTTTTTGTGCTCCCTTTCCCCAGCCATTTCTGAAGAGGGAGAGGTCTCTGCCCTATGGAGTCATCTTGAGCCTCCCAATCACATACTTCCCATAGCGCGTGACTTCAAACCTGCTGGCTCACTGAGGGTCTTTGTGGGTGCCAGGGCTCAGTTCAAAGGACACCCCGTGTTTATCCTTTGCCTCTGGTGGGATTGCCTTGTCATGTAGCTCTCAGCAACCTGTTGCCTCCTGTCTTCACCGCCTGAGGATAACACCATCTTTTCTTTCCCAGAATTGCTGCAGCCTAGACAGGGGTAGCATGAATCCCCAAGTTTTGATTTCTGCCTCTCCTGCCTCCCATGTCTTATTTTAACCTATCTCCCAGCACACACTCCAGGCCCGTTTAGCATCTTTTACAGTGACTGACTCCATACCTCCCTGGGATGGGATCTGAATAGCTTAGACAGGGGAGTGTTTCACACAGGACCATTCATTTAAGTGTGGGAGGTTCTGCCTTCTTACCTAGTGCACCGTACTACAGCAAAACAAACCTGGTTGGTTTTTTTCAGTCTGTGGCTGGCTGCCCTTTGTCAGTCTTCAGCAGCTCTCTTAGAATCACAGAATCATAGAATCATTAAGGTTGGAAGAGACCTCCAAGATCATCGAGTCCAACCGTCAACCCAACACCACCATGCCCACTAAACCATGGCCCTAAGCGCCTCATCTACACGTCTTTTAAATACTTCCAGGGATGGGGACTCAACCACTTCCCTGGGCAGCCTCTTCCAATGTTTAACTACTCTTTCAGTAAAGACATTTTTCCTCTTGTCCAATCTAAACCTCCCCTGGCGCAACTTGAGGCCATTTCCTCTCGTCCTTTCGCCAGTTACTTGGGAGAAGAGACCAACACCCACATCGCTACAGCCTCCTTTCAGGTAGTTGTAGAGAGCCATAAGGTCTCCCTTCAGCCTCCTCTTCTCCAGGATAAACAACCCCAGTTCCCTCAGCCGCTCCTCAGAAGACTTGTTCTCCAGACCCCTCACCAGCCTCGTTGCCCTTCTCTGGACACGCTCCAGCACCTCAACGTCCTTCTTGTAGTGAGGGGCCCAAAACTGAACACAGTATTCGAGGTGCGGCCTCACCAGTGCCGAGTACAGAGGCACGATCACTTCCCTGCTCCTGCTGGCCACACTATTTCTGATACAGGCCAGGATGCCATTGGCTTTCTTGCCCGCCTGGGCACACTGCCAGAGGAGAAGAAGCCTCAGCAAAGCCTGCAACCAGGCTAGCCAGAAATTAAGGGTTTGAAAAAGCCATCTTCTCCCCCAGGATTACCACCAGATGCAAGCTGTGAGGATGGTTCCAAGTGTTAGATTTTTCATGGAAAGAAAGTTGTCAGGATTTTGTATATTCAGGGTGAAATTGCAATTGTTTATATCCCTCCAAATTTGCTTAATTTCCCCATTTGTTATTCTTTTATATGTAATCAAACACTGGTTTTAATTTACAAATAATGAGAAACTTCGTGTTCTGAGATCTTTTGTAATAATATTCAGTCAAACACGTGTTTCCAGCTGAACTGTAAACCTCTTTAAAGCATCTTTTTTAACAGAAGTGCTGTCACAGCCTTGATGGAGTTTTATATATATATATATAAAAAACTCCATAAATATATATATATGGCACTGATACAACAACAGCACTGTTTTTCACGATTCCCATCTCTTCACTGCGCAGCTCCCATTGCTTTTCAGACAATTGTCAAAAGCAGCAAGAGCAATTTCAGCTCACTCTGTGCTGTTCTGCATGGTAGGACAGTCCTATCTGCTCCTTTCTTTGACTTATTGCCTGGGTCCTAGAGAAGGCCTTGCAGCTGGACCCTTCACCCATACACACTTTGACCTCTCCGAAGCCGCCTAGCCAAAGCACCCCTGCGAAGAGCAGGATGGCAATATGTTCTGGGGAGTCTGGATTCAGTTGATGCAAGGCTGCCTATTTCGCCTCAGGAATTGGGCTCATGCTTTCTCCTTTGCAGGTTCTTCCTGGCCCAGATGTGGTCAACCAGTAACCCAAGCCAGAGCCTCACACACAGAAGTACTGCGCAGATTGTGCTTTAGTGGGAGTACCTACACTCCATGCTGGCTGCCACCCTGTCCCCTAAGGGATTTTTTTATGATAGTAAGCACAATCTCTACACCACAAGAGATCGCTTAGAGCACAAGCAAAGCTCTGCCATACTTGTTTGTCATGCTTCTTGCCCAAGCACTGGCCTAGCTGTGCTGCTTCAGCTGCATTTCTGGGTGCCTTGTTGAACTCCAACTTATAACCCAGCTCTGGACTGCTCCGTGCCTGGTCCTTCCCCTTTGCCTGAGCCAGTTTTGTTGGTCCTACAGGAAAAAAACATTCAGGGTGGGAGCCCACACAAGGTACTCCATGATCCAGGAGAGGGCTTAGTGTTGTCACTGCTGGTGGCTGCCTGAAATCCTTTTAGAACTGAGGTCTGCAAAATATTAAGACTTGGCCAAACATCAAGCCAAAACTAAGAGGGCAGCTGAAAATGTGCTGCATGTATGTAGAAAACATTTTCTGAGTTTGGTGGAAGGTGTTCAAAAACTATTAAAAATAGTAATTGTGAAACGATAGCTGTACAGATTTGTTTGCAGCAAAACAGGTAGAGAAAGGGTGGTTTGGGCTGTGTATAAGACCTGACTACCTGTTTCAGTCCAGGGTTAGACTGTGACTCTTTGTTTCATCTGGAGTCAATCTAGGCTTAACTGAAGTCCTCCCAGCTGCCTTCTGAGCCCGCTGAGAATGGCACCTCCAGAGAATAGGGTCATCCCACCTAAGAACTAGGGAGCCCCCCTGAAACTCTGGATGGTGTCTGCAGACAGCATGAAGGGCTGCTGGGCCTCTCATATGGCACCTGGGGGAAGCAGCAGGCATTAGAAGGCACGAATCCAGAACGTAACACTGCTTCTGCTGCTTTCTCCTTAAGTGAAAATCACATTTTATCCACAGAGATAATGAAAATGCCTGCTAGTTAAACTGTGTAAACCACTGCAGGTGAGGGATTTCTCCTCTTATCATCACCCTGGATATAAGCGGTGGTTTCTTTCAGTCTGATTTTATTGTGAAAAACTGAGAAAATAACTTGCACTGAAACAAACTCCACTGGTTTGATGCTGCAGCATAGACACACAAGACAATACCAAACATCTGGATGACATTACATCTCAAGAATCAGAATCTGAATCCCATTGGAAACAAATACAAAGTCACTACAGCCTTTGAGCAGCCTATAAACCATTCACCGCAAGAAATATCATGGAATAACTGAAGCATTCAAGTATCCTTTTGGCGCAGTCCCAAGTATAGCACACTGCTGACAGTGCAGCCAACAGCAGTGATTGCTGTGGAAGGAGCCGGGGATCTGAGCCAGAGCAGACTGGAGTCAATAAGTCTTTCCATTTACATTAGTGGACTTAGAGCTCAGCTTTTAATGACTCACGCACTCCGTGGTGCTGACCTAGGCAACCTTCCTTCCTAAAGAGGCTGAACTTGGCACCAGAAGTGAGAGGATGCAATCACTAGTCTGAGTTTGCTCCGTGACTGCTATCCCAGGCTTTGAATGTAGAGATACTAAAGGATAAATACGTAAATAAAGGCTGTGTAACCTCAATGTGGTATCCTTTTGCCTCATTGATGAAAATCAGATGGCATAGATTATTTTATCTTCTCCAGTGTTCTTGCTACAGAGGAAGTCTTTGCTAAAATACTTCTAGTACTCACATCACATACCCATGTACCATCTCTCCTTTGCTGTACTACGGGTGAGGCTGCTGTATTACCTTTGAACTGGAAATCAGCTTGAAGTGACACGGTTAATTCTTTATGACTTAAAATTTGTCTATATAGAAGTTGTTTTGGCTTACAGTGGGTGACCTACTGCACACATCCAAGGAACCTAAATAAACTACTTCAAGCAGAAAATCATTAAATTGTGGAATATAGATTTTTGAGAAGATTTAGCTATATTCATAGAAAAGAGTAAAACTAAACATTTGTCTATACGCAAATGAAAATGCCAAATGTCCTTCTAGGCACATAATCATCTATGTAATTTCCAGGAGGACTTACCAGAATTAAAAAGAATAATTCCTTTAAGATAGGCATAATCTTCTGCACTTATGTCCAGGTCCCAGAATTTCCACAACAAATGCTTCATCTTCTGAACTTCTGCTACAGATGCTCCCAGTGATGAGCTACCCAGTTCATTGCTAGCTGTCAAAGACTGATTGAGGAGGATTTTCTTTCAATAAACTAGGGGCTGAAATCTCTCTCAGGTCAAAATCCACCCCTTCTTGTGCCATGCCCAGGACAAAAAGAGGGGCCCAGTTCTGCTGTATAAGGACAAGCTGATCCTCCCAAGGCACATGATAAAAAGAAGGCAAGTTTCTAATAAAAGTTAAAGTCTTCAAGAGCACTTCAGAAGCTCTTCTGCACATGGCTTCTGGCGTTTTCAGGACAACTCTTCTGTCTGTACAAGAGCACCCCTTGCTTCCCGTGGAGCGGTGGGGGCTGCGATACTGCTGGTACCACTTGGTCTCACTTCCATGCTCTTTGTTAAGGATCTGGTACAGGATGCTCTTAGCATGATGTGTCTCACACTGACATTTCCCAAATTTCTTAGCTGGGATCTTGGTAGCCATAGAGCCAAAGTTCCCTGTGGCAGGAAACAGTGCATGTGGAGCATTGGGGGAAGAGCATTTCTGCTACACAGCAAGGTGTTGTGTGCTTTTTATACACACGGGCGGTTGAAAAGTAATACGACCCTGATCTGTAAAGTTACCTTGAACTTTATTTGCACCAGTCTGTTTCGAACGAGGCGGGGCTGCAGTCTGCCGGTGTCGCACAGGGCTGCCGTAGCCCCGGGGGAGCAGTAGGGCTCGCGCCCGCCAGCAACACGGGCGCTGCTCACCGCTGTGCCCCGGTGCAGGCAGGCTGTGCCTGGCCTTCCGCCACCATGCCGGTGGCTCTGTGCTGCTGCCACCAGCAGTGGCATTTTTGCAAAGACCAACTATAAAACATGTACAACCTGCCCCTGAGGTGAAGCCCAGTGAAAACTATGACACCATAAGTGAAGAAGGAACAAGTTGTCTATATTTTTACTGATACACTGACCTTGCCCACTAGCTAGTGCTCTGGAGTGCACAGAAATACATTTATACTGATGAATGATGCTGTGGTAGCAGTCCCTTGAGTAGACTCTTTTATTTCTTGTCAAAAGGAGCCACCTGAAGACACTGTGGATGTCTACCATTACTTTTCACAAAGCACTTAACAGCGTTCATACGTTACACTGTAGCTAAAAGGATGTGACACCTATGTCAAGGAGCTCACACATGAAAGTCCCGGGGATGGAAATCCCATGTATAGGACTTATTTCACATTCCTGGGAGATTTGAGAGAAACTTCAGAAAAAGTCAGCTGCTCTACCTCATAGCAATCTTATCTCCTGCATTTCACATATGATAATTTCAAACACAGAAGATGCAGACTTCTCCCAGACTTGCTGTGTAATTAAATATTCTTCATACAAGCTGTGGAAATAAAATTGATGAAGAAAGAGAGCAAAATGGCGATCTGTACTGTAGAATGTGTGAACTTTTGCAGCAGAGCAAGAGCTGAATGATAGAATTGTCAGAACTCTTCAGGGAACATTAAGTAGCAGG